TGGAAACAGAAATACTTGAAATTATCTGACTTAGCTCTAAAAACCCAAGCTGGAGTCCCAGGATACCAGAGAGCCACTAAAAACAGGTTTGGAAAAATCAAGAAAGTAGGTTTTACCTTCTCTCCTCTCAGAAGTCTTTTTCTTTTGCTTATTCTTTTTCTCTTCTTTTTAGAATCCCTGTAAAATTCCAATACTCTGAAATGCCTCTGATATCAAGATGGTTCACCCAGCATCTGCTGAGGTGATGTTGTCCATTCCCCTCACTCTAGGAGGCAGACATTAGGTGGACAGACTAATTCAGTTACAGATAATTAGATAATCGTGAAACAATTCCTGCAACTGGATTTATTTCCTTGTCTCAAGACAAGGTCTTGAAACAGAGGAAGATGAAGAGGGTTGGGTGTCTTCATCTCATCTGAGGGTGCCTTCACTTGAGTGCTGTAAGATTTGAGTTCAGCTGGTCTGGTACTTGCTACACCTGGAATAAGAACTGGTACTTTTTGATATTTGTGAAATATATTCTCCTTGTTCTCCTTCTGCTGAAGTGTTCCTGGCAATAAGTACCTCAGTGTCACGGCCTGCCAACAATGTGTGTTGAATCAAATGCAACTCTTAAGAGTTAAAATCATACAAAGACATCCTGAATCCTTCCAGTAGACTAATTTCTTCTGCTCTAATAAAAATTAAATAAATATAAATAAAAATGCCTTAGCATTTCCCCCAAAGTGCATGGCATTATGTCTTCAGTTTTTTATCACAGGACATGGCAAACACCTGTACATTGATTTATTGGGCAGGGAGAACAGCCCAAATGCAGAATTACCATTTGTTCTCTTCAACAAAACCAGAATTTGACAAGAGTAAGTTGTTTTCCAGACCTTATTAACTTAATAAATGCTGTCACCATATTAATAAACACTTTCTTGCTCTCAGACATGTCCCTCAGTATTCCTTTTAGCCCACCATTAACCCTTCCAAGGCAACAAACAGCATTTGGAGAGTTCCCCCCTGCCCTGGGACCAGGCTCCAGCAGTGACCCCCGTGACTCCTCCATTTCTGGGGTAACCAGTGGTGGCCCTGGCACAGTCACACTCTGGCTCTGGAGGCAGCTGCTCCCAAAGTCCCCCTGGCAAAGGTCAGGAAAGCTGCCAGAGCTCCAAGGTTTGACCGAAACCCCCAGGGATGGGGTTAAGCCATTGCAATATCACTCTAATCAAGCAAATAGGAACTCCTTTTCATCAACAGTTAATCACAGGACTTCACTTGTCTCTAAGTTCCTGCAGTTGCCTTGACAGATGAGAGCACAATAATATAAATAAGAAATGACAGTTTACCAAAGAAGGTTAACATAAGGTCACAACCTTTTTCTACTTGACTTCTGCAGCTTATTCATGTGTGAAAACACACTTTTGTAGCTGTAGCCTCAGCATCCCTTACAGAACTGGACTTGTGCCAACAACTGAGCTTTAAAATTACCATTTAAAATACCATTTTAAATGGTATTTATGTTCAGAAAATACCATTTCTGCATTTTGAGATGCTCGAGTAGAACTGCTTCGCATCAGAAAAAAACATGAAATGAGGATATCTCTGCATTTCACAGCCTATCTCACTGACACAGTGGTGCCTCTGCTGCACAAGCAAGGAGGTATTGGGCACACACCTATTCCATCTCCCTTCCTCAGACCAGGTCACACCTTTCTGATCAAACCCACCCACAGCCCCTGCCCAGGCTGCCCCAGGAACAGCACATGGATGCGCAGGGCACAGCATCAGCCTGACAGTCCTACACTGGTAAATGTCAAATATTAATTTGTCACATTATTTGTGCAGTGATTTGAAGCCAAATCCTGTCTCATCATTCATTTCCATCCGGCACACGATGAGAGGGAGGGAAGCAGGAGCTTTCTGTCACAATCTGAAATGCCTGTGCCAGGGGCTGCCAGGAAATATTTCTCTGTCAGAGAAGCAAACTGAAGTTCTGAGCATGAAGGCTGGAGAGTGAAAGCTGCAGTACTACATGGAGATAATTAGCTTTGAAAGGCTAATCAGGTCAATGCTCTGGCTGGCATTTCTATGGAGATGCACAGGCCTCCAGCTCACCACATCTTGCCTCTCCATACAAGTGTCCCTCATCAAAGTGAAGAAAGACCTTACAAACTACATAACCCTAAATGACATATCCTGCCTAAAGAATCCCCAAAAAGCCAGAAAAGATCCCTACAAATAGCCAGGAAATATCCCTACAGCCCTTGGAATGAGGATAGACCCCACAGCATGGGTCTGTGCTGCCAAATCCCCTTCCCCATGTGGGTCCAACCAGCCACAGAACCACTCAAGGAGGTGGTTTAATCAAAGCTGATGGCAATAACTATTTTAAGATTATCCCACCTATTTTATGCTGATCTCTTGTGCACATTCATGGAGCCTTGTGTCTTGCACACATCTTTGACACCCTAGAAGGTGGAGATGTTGAGCATTGTCAGCTCATTCAAGCTGTGCAATTAGGCCTTGGGTCTCCAAAAAAAATTGCTCACAAACCCCCAGCAATGCTTGATCAAAACACCAGTACTCTTCAGTACATTAGTGGTTAGTGAATTTTTATCTGCTTTCCCTTCCTTAGCATTAAACAGCTACAAATGGCTAAAAAATATTTTTAAAAACCCAACAGTTCTTTCCTGACATCTTTCCCTTTTGTCAGAAGGATGCTCTATTTTGTTTCTGAAAAACACGATCAATCTTTCCAGTAATAATGACTCACTGAATAAGATCTGTGCTACTTCCATGCTGCTTTTCTAACAATACACCTTATTTGTACCTTGGCTTATAAAAAAACCCATACACTGATCGATCATTGCAGGCACCAGTGAAATAAAACCAACCACGAGACAAATAATGGCAGCAGAACAATAGTGCACATCTATTTAATGCCTGAGTTTAGACTAAGGGGTAACATAAAGCACAATGATGCTATAAAGGCAGAAAGAATGGAACAACCCAGAACAACAATAAACTTGATTCCTCCAAAACCACTGGTTAACCTGAATGAGGAGCTGTTTTACTCCTATCTGCAAAAATGACTCCTCTGAGCAATGCAGAGGCATTAATAAAACCCCAGTTCACGCCATGGAAGACCTTCCAGCACCACTCAGAGTTTTGTTTGAGAGCTCACTTTCCCCTCACATAGTAACCAATCACTAACTTACTCATGCTGTAACATCTGATGGCCACAAGTTGGCTGAAGTTGGCCTCCTTGCAGGTCAGTGCAGCCAAATTCTGTCACTGTCACCTCTGCAAAAGTTCAGGTGTATTTAGTGACACCACCACCCTCACTCTGTTTTATGACTTGAGCGCTTCCCGTTCATTGTGTTTTTCCATTTTTGCCATTCAAAAAAGTGGCCTCAAAACAGCTAATAGTATATTCCCCTGCAAACCCTGGTCAGATAAAATATAGTACAAAAATCAAATACCTTAAGCTCTGAGTTTTTAAAGGCTGTCCAAAAGCTTAAATTTAAAGTGCATTGTAAGAACTGAATTGTGCAGAAGGAGCACTAATTTGACTAACTCATTAAAATAAGACTAGTCTGAAGGAAAAATTACTCTTGCATGGCAAGGATTATGATGAGTAGGACTCCTGCTTTCAAAAACCTTGGGGTGTGGTGAACTTTTATGCACCGAAAGCAGTAAGTAGTCATCAAAACACAGACTGTGCACTGGCCCATGGGCATATTGCCAGTCACTCCCCCAAAGAGGCAAGAGAGGTGAAGTAGCAGGGATCTGTGAATCATAAATTATATTCCTGGGCCAAGCTCTCCAAAAGCCAAAATGAAAACATGGAAGACCATAATAAAATGCTTCAATCAAAATAACATAACCATCTACAGCTTATTTTCACTGTCAAGGTGGATCTCAACTGACAGGCTGCCATAGAAAATAATTCCATTGTCTTTTAGTGAAAAAAGGAGTGCAGTCAAATAAATTATAAAGTTAGGATAAATCATATTACCACAGACAAGAAATACAGTGCTTTATCCAAACCTTAAAAAGGAGTTGGACAATGGGAAAATGAAATCTTGGAAGAAGGGGATTTGTGAGACCCTGTGCAATGGGAAAAGCCAGAGAACACAGTTTCTTGTGATAATACAGTTCATGAAAAGCTGCTCTGAGATTAAAAAAATGTCATCACTGATGCATTTACTGCATCACTGAAACTCAGGGGAGGTGCAATCCAGCCCCACATCAGAGCACAACAAATGATGTGGCAGCACATCCCTGCTACCTGTGTCAGGGGAGAGCTCAGGAAGAAGGAATTGCTCTGGCCTGGAGTACAGCACACCTTGGGTACCTCACACCTGACCTTCTGCAGCACCTGATATTGCACAGAATGTAGTGACTGTAGGTCAGCACATCATCTGGCCTTGTCTACACCCACTCTGCTTGCCAGTGAGCCTTTAGGAAGTCTGACCATAATTCAATATGTGTTCTAACATACGTTTTTGCATAAGAACGAATTTTACCCTATAATGCACTAACTAGACTTAAATTTCCCTTAGGAAAAAGACAAATGGGTTTACATAGCATGTGGTTTTAAATCCTTTTTTTTTTTTCAGTTAATCTCTAGCTGTGGAATTGTGATTGAAATATGAAAATGTATGTGTATTTTCTGATAAGAACCATTTTTGCTTAAGAGACAGATGAAATATTATCAAGCGTATACACTTTCTTCAAGTTTTTCAACAGATGATGGAAATCCCATAATCAGAACATGGCACAGCCAATCCAGGTTAAGTGATAACATTTTTTTCAACAAAATAAAACAAAACCCCAACCCTTTGAAGTGTTCTTACAGTTACATCTTCATAATCCAGACATGAGATCTGCGCTCTCGACAACTCTGAGCACACGCTCTTCAGCTGGCTCCACATAAAAGCCAGCGTTTCCTTCCCCTTCCTAAGTCTACTGATTCCTTAATAGCAGTGAGACATGGCACAAAGCATTACCTGCACAGGATTTTCTATCTTCCCCCAGCTTCTGGCCAGCTGGACACTTGCAGTGGTAGCTGCCGATGGTGTTGCAGCAGCGGTCGTGGCAGCCGCCGTTGTCTGTGGTGCACTCATTGACATCTGCCAGGAGAAAGCACATGCAACCAGTGAAGAGCGGGCACTGACCACAGTCCCTGAAGATCTGAGGACAGTCGTGTCTGACTGATGTGAAAAAATGAGAAAGTTTGTGAGATAACCAGCTCGGGACCCTGAAGCAAAATCAGGAGCAGCAACTCACGGCTATGCTGCTGAGCCCCTCCACTCAGCCATGCTGTGCCAGGGGAGGTTTAGATTGGGTACCACAAAACATTTCTTCATTGGAAAGATTGCCAAGCACTGGAACAGGGTGCTCAGGAAGTGGTGGAGTCACCATCCCTAGAGGGATTTAGAAGACAGATGTCATAGAATCATTACAGCTGGAAGACACCTCTGAGATCCTCGAGCCCAGCCATTAGTGGATGTGGCACCTGGGGAGATGGTTAGTGGTGGGCTTGGCAGTGCTGGGTTAATGGTTGGACTCAGTGGTCTTAAAGGTTTTTTCAACCTCAGTGATTCTGTGATTCTCAAAGTTGCAAGGGTAGGATTTTCCTTCCCCTCTTTTTCTACACAAGGTGAATGCAGAGCTCACCAACTTCCACCTCTGGAACAACATTTACACAGTCATTTCCAGCAGCCTCACTTGGGTATTAGGTTGCTTCTAGAAGCAGTGGCAGAGCTGAGAAACCTCTGAAAGATGGTAGGATTTTAAATCAGTTATGGTCCTGCTTTCTGTCAGGTGCTGTTATCTATACACTGGACTTATTCACCTTTCAAGCTGATGTTTTCCTGCATGCAAAATAGAACTTTACACATTACAAATGAAGAACATTAAAGGACTAAATGAAAAAAAATAAATAAGTAAATAGACAGCCAGTGGCAGAGAAAAAAAAATCAATAGCAAAGACATTCACTTACATACCTACTTTAATACCCTACATAAGAAATTTCAAATAAATATGATAGGAACCGCCAGGCCAGCAGCACTGCTCTGCTGAACAGGAGCAGAGACAAACAATATGGAGGTGATTTCGAAAACAAAATTTGTTCAAAGGCGATGGTAAATGTAACAAGCCCAGCAGGTATTTGCTGCAATGATTCCATGGACAGAGAACTTGGGAAATTCCTTCTCACTCACTTTGCTCTCTCAAGTGTTCATGTCCCACGCACACCCACATCCAGCAGTGCAAGGGCAAGCAGGGATGGGCCTGTGTGAGAATGATGGGCTCTGGGGGGCTTGGCTTCAATTTTTGGGCAAATGTCTTGATCTGCCTTGGTGGCAGAGCTGGGGCTGAGGGGACACCACACCTCCTCAAAGCCCAGGCTGAGGGTACAGGTAACAGATCTGACAGGCCTTAGACACTGGGAGGGAGCTCACACTCCTCTCAGGTGAGAGAGCAGGAAAGCCAGGAGGAGGAGGATTAAGCAGCAGAAGATAAGCATCATCATGACTGTACAAACCACAGGCAGTTACTTCATATTAGTGGCACTCCTCATCCCCAAGGGAGAAATGAGGCTTTTAAAAAAACTATTTAATTAGTTTGTAAAGAAAAATCATTAAAAAAAGAATTTCACATTCATGCAAGAGAGGTGAGAGCCTTTCAACTGCAACCCTTCGGTGTTAAAGACTAAGATTTACCAAGGTTTGTTAGTCCTTTGATGAGCTCAGGCTTCACTTGACTGGTTCATTTCTGATCCTGGCTAAAAGCCACAGGTTAAAAGAAAATTTTGAGGAGGTTTCAGACTATTAAAAAGCTAAAAGAAAAGCGTATCACAAAACACCAATTTTTAGCTGAAGAGGCACAAACCCACTAAAACCGCCTCATTTCTCTACAGCTTTAGACTCAACGCAATGACCAACAAAATTATAATTTCTTTGTCCTCAGAGATACTGGAAAACACTGGCAGGCTATAAAGAAATAAAACAAAATTCAGTTACCCCAGAGCTACACAACAAACCAAATCCTAACTTGCATGAAGCCATCGAGGCTCTTCTCGATTTCACGGGAACGCGATTTAAACAGAAACTTTTCCCGGAGAAAAACACTCCCCCCCTCCTCCCCTCCAAAAACAAACTGCACCAAAATAACAACGTGCGTCTGCTCGCCTCTCCTCAGCAAGAGATGGGGAGAACATATGACAGGAGGCAGATTTTGGACGTGTTCCTCCGAGCTCTGGGAGGAGGCACGCGAGCGCTCGGCGCTGCGCGGGGAGCGAGCGGCGCGCGGCCCCTTCCGAGGGATTTGCTCGATGTGCCTCGTGGTGATAAACAGCAACGAGCCACAAAACAACGCAGCTCCACAGCTTTGACTTCTATTTATACTAACAGGATTGAAAGCTAATACAATCTCCTTGCTCTTTTTATTTTTTTAATAAAATTAAGGGAAGAACTGGTTTATTCTTTAGAACCCACAATGCTACGTGAACCCCTGGTGTAAAATATTGACTGGGTGAGGTGGTCTAGGATACACAGCCCGATTTATTAACACCAGTGTCTATATTTTGAACCAAATTATTGGAACAAAATCTTTCTACCTGAGGAGCTCATCATTATCCCCTTGATTTCACCAGGGTATAATCCATTCGGAAGTGTATAGTGCTGTTGCATGCTAATATATAGGAAGTTTCTCTGTTGATTGCAGACTGTTCCTGTTAGCAATTAAAAATCTTTTCCTTCCTTGTTTGGCATAAAATGCTGTGGGGTCCAGCTCTTGGTGCTGCATGACTGAAAACCTCATTTCCTCCTCCTTCTAACCCTACCTTCTTAATGCTCTGTCCAGGATTTCCCTGTCTCTGCCTTAATATTTGTTTTCATCTTTTGATGAATTATTTTCATGCATTTCTTTGCTTCTTTTTACACCAGAAACCCAACTCTTCATTTATACTCACAAACCCTGACTTTCTATCTCCATGTGCCTTTAAAACAAACATCTTATTTAAAGCTGATCATCATAAAATAAGCAGTGATTTAATCTCTGAGTTAAGACACCAAAAAAACCTTTTTCATACAGCTCTATTACAGAGCAATCACATTTGAAGGAATACACTGAGTAGGAATAAATCTCACCAGTTTTAGCCCTAATACTATGAAAATTTGCTCTCTAAGTATTTGCATCTTTTGTTGTCCTGTCTCCTGCTCAAGACCTTCCCCACTGCCTGCTCCCTGCCAAGCTGTTTTCTGCAACTCCATAATAAAGGTCAGATGTTGCCTCAGTCCAAAGAAGCACAAAAATAAATGATCTGAATGTGAAGTAATAAAGAATGTGTTTTACATTTGTAAAAGGCCGGGTCATAGAGCTTTTACAAGCCAGAATCAGCTGTTCCATAATCCTAAAAGAGAGTAGTCAGGATTTTAAAATCTGATTACAGCTTTGCCACTGAAAAAAAAAAAAAAAAGAAAAGTTAAAATAAACTCAACAAAAACAATTCTGTCAAATGATAAATTTCTGTCTGCTTTCCATATTCAATGTCACTCAAGGTCGCAAATATATTTTGCTTTTGAATAGTGAGCAAAATGACAGAAAATTTCTGACATGTAACAAGTCTGCCACGTTAGGTCTGACAAAAGTTCAATGTTATCAAGCCTATCAATCCATCTGTAATGACATGCTGTAGGCACTTCAAAAAAAACCCCAAAAAACAAATGTGATGTTTGCTACAGCAATGTTTCACATTTATTTATAGAGCCAATGTTGCAACACAAAAACATTATCCATGGGACATACTGGATGTGAGCCTTCAATCTTGCCTTGGGAAAATAATTGAAAACACCTTGCATCTAGATTAACTTGATATTAACTTTATATATGATCTGTCTAGGATATATGTGTAGGGGAAAAAAATGCACAATATATTTTAAATCCAGTAGTATGTTAAAATATGGATTGTTGACATGTGCCCATGTCCCACACTCCCTGCACTCATGGTATTATAGACAGAACTATGTGAAAAGGTGTCTTTTCTCCAAAAATCTTATACAATACTTGATATGGAAGGGAACACACCTTTTTTTTTTCATGAAGCAGACCACCATTAACCCTTCCTAGGAGCTACATGCTAAATGGAGAAGGACAATCCCAATCCCTTCACTTCTCTGTTCTTGTTAATGCTATTCCATCTGACAATGTCACACATCCTCAGCTCCAGGGAAAACAGCCCTTCACTAAGTTTTTATGAAAATGTAGGCAATTTCAGATTTCCTACAAATAAATGAAGGCTTGATATAAAAGCAGACACTGGACAAAGTGGTTTTCATTGGTAACTCCAGCTTGAAACCTAACAGCAGTGACCTGCTCTATCACTAGCTCTCAAAAAATCAGATAAAGAAAAATCAGTGTGAAAAGCAGAAATACATGTTGGCATTGGGGCACAAGTCTCCTCTCCACTGAGCTGCTGGTGCGGGCTGCAGCTCTGCAGGGTCTGCACCTGGAGCTCAATTCAGCATCTTTAAAATCCAGTGAGGGACTAATCCTGCCCTGAGCACAGGACTGGCCAGAGCTGGGCAAGGAGAAAGCACCTGCAATGAGCAGGGGCTCAGCTCTGCAGCAGGAAAGCTATGAAGTGAAAGACCACCTAATTCTGGCAAGTTTGTATGTTTAGATCAGTGGAACACAGCAGTTAACTCACTGCCTATAGCTTAAGGTATTTTTATTTTCCCCATACGACAAGTTTAATGCCATATTAGTTATTATGAAGACTAATTTTTAAGATAACAAAAGGAATCTCATAACTGCCACACAGTATTTAAAACCCATTTCCCAAGGTTTCTGTATTTATCTGCTGTATATGAGCAATATCTTTATTCATTTAAGGCAGCCACATGCAAATTTGCCATGTGGGTGCCCAGTTTTGGGGCTAACCCGTGCTCTGACCCATGAGCCACTGACTCCAGCACGTGTCAGAGCTCCCTGGACTTGAAATAAATCACTGAAGTGGAATAAAATCTGTAAAATCATTGCCATTATTATTGCAATCCTGCCTGAACAAAGCCCACCAGCACGGAGCAAGGAGGTGATTTTGATTAGTTTAAAAGCATTAGGGGAACA